CGTTTTAGGTACGCGTGGTTGACTCTTAACTTTTATAAAGAATATCTCTTTGGATTTGAGACTTTAGTCTTTGCAACTTTACAGATCTTCTTCATGCACCAAGAGCTTGTAACACTCCAAAGAGAAAGGAAAAATTGAAATCACATCATATGACCCCTTTAAGATATTTTTGATGAAATCCGAGAGCTTTCTCCATAGACAGCAACGTAACTGAAATTTTCAAGGCCCAGAAAGGTAGTAAGGACATCGTTAAAATAGTCCATGTGGCATCAGTGGTTCAACTGTAATTTTATGAAGCTACGAGAATAAATTTTGTGCGCAAAGAAAACAAAAATAGCAACTTTATTCAGCTATCTTTTTCTCTTCTGTGTCAGATTAGGATGCGCTTTCACGAAAGTTAAAAAATATAAAATTATATAATCAAAATATAATCATATATAATCAAAAATATAATCATGTAATAAAAAATATAACCATATATAATTAAAAATATAATCATATAATAAAAAAAATCATAATTAAAATATATTCACGAAAGTTAAAAAATATAAAATTATATAATCAAAATATAATCATATATAATCAAAAATATAATCATGTAATAAAAAATATAACCATATATAATTAAAAATATAATCATATAATAAAAAAAATCATAATCAAAATATAATCATGGTTATTAATTGTTATTACACAACACATCTAAAGTATCCAGATAAAAATGTATTCCAGGATGAATAACCAGCAGGCAAGTATTGCAGATGATTGTGCTTAGTAAGTGGAGAGAAGCAGAAATAGACTCAAGCTCGATAAATATAATTGTGTATATCTGTCTCTCTCTGTCCATCAGCTGGTGAAGCTATGCAGCGGGATGATCGAAGCGGGTCGTGTGTACATCAGTGCCAATAAACTCTTCGTCAACGGCATTCGAGACCTGTCTCACCACTGCAAAAAGGAGGAGATGATCTCAGTAAGTATTTATTTCTGAATGACTCAAGTAATAGTCACACCTTCATGAGCTGTGTTGATTTTTTGATTATTTGTTTCATTTCAGGAATGTCTTGAAAAGTGTGGCGATAGCCTTCAGGAAATCGTTAACTATCACATGGTAAGACACATGTCCCTCAGGCTCGCTCTGCATGGCCACATGTCCCATAACAAAACATACATGCACACGTTTCAGTCCGAGGTCATAATGATTCATCATATATTACCGTAACCTGGCGGGGCGTGTAGTTCTCTCATGGGTGTTTTTATTATGAAACCATATTACGTGTGCCGTCGGGCGTAACTCATCCCAGAAGCACGGGGTGTTTCACATCATATGTGCTTGTTTTTTTAGTTTTTTTCCCCCCAAAAAAAGCCATTTGGAGAGTCATAAAAGGCATCTTAGTGTTGAGTTTCAAAATGTTTGACCTTTCTGTCACTTTTATTGAAAAGTAAATATAGTTAGGACAGGAAATGTTTAGGAACTAAAGGAGGAATTGGAAATGTTGCAAGCTGGATTCGAACTTGAGCACCACAGATCAATGTAAAATGGTTTGTACATGTGAAACCACTCATAATCACATTTACTGGTTCATCTGAGACTGAGTTGCGTCATCATGCAAGAGTCTTTGGGGTGTTTTCCTGCTCTTGAGGATCGAGTAATTGAAAACAGAGACAGAGTGGCAATCAGTGTGCAAAACTCTACATGTCTCCTGTTACCGCAGCCACCTTCACTTTTAAAGAAAGAGGAAATACCAGGGCTGTGGTATAAAGGACTTGTGGCTTTTTAATTGTCAGCCCAAAGACTGCTGATCCCTTCCTGCTTGTAGCATCAGCAGCATTTGAACAGAAAGAGTTCGACGTTTCCTTTGTTCTCTGGGTTTCTTGGTCATTCTCGCTGCTTTTATGGGTAATTAGACTCAGTTTATTCTTGTGATAAACTGTTTTTGTGAGACATGACTGCGGTGAACACTGAATTCCTGCACTTGACCAGAAAAACGTCACGGTCACACCCTCAAGTGAACTTGTTTACTAAAACTTTAGAAATCTAAGAAAATAGTCCAAAAAATTTAATTATTTTTATAAATAAAATGTGTGTGTGTGTGTGTGTGTGTGTTTTTAGGGGAACTAGGGGACCATTTTAAAAACTGTCATAGTTCTACAGAAAATATTATAATGGCTTTACAATTTTTAAACGTTTTTAAATGCACAAAATCTTTTACCGTTAAATATAGTAAAAAATAATTGTACTACTTTGGTAGTACACTAGTTAATAATAAAAATTGTAAAATTAAATAAAAGTGTTAAAATCTTGAAAATTAATAATAATAATAATGCAAAATATATTTTCTTGGTAGGTAAGAAACATTTTTTGTTGTTTGTTTGGCAAGGTGCTTACTTCTTGACAGCCTTATATATTTATAATATTTATATATATACTATTATAGCATACTATATATCATTAATATTTTGAATTAGGTTTTATTTTTATATTTTCAGTTTTCATTTAAATTTTACTTTGTTTTAAAAAATTGTATTATGGGCTTTTTTTCATTTTTATTAGTTTAAAATAAAATTTTAATCTATTTGGCTTTCATTTTTTCATTGGCTTTCAGTTTTCATTTTAGTAATTACATTTTTAGTACTTAAACTTATTTTATTTTGGTTAGTTGCCAAGGGAACTAAATTTAGTTCATTTACATTTTTCATCTAATATTGATATTTTTATATTTCATTTTATATTATATTTCAGCTTTAACAAAGTAATGAAAAAGATTTGTAATACTTATAATTCTAGTTACAGTAACAACAGTGCTTCTTGATTCTTACACACAGCTGTCTGTCTATGGTAGGAACGAGAGATGAAGCCTGTGTGCTGAAAGAACATTACTATAATTCACTCCTCTTGTCCTGCTCTCTCCTGTTTTTCTCGGGTCAAAGCTGTTAGCCTGCCACTCTATAAATCTGAAGCCTGGCCATTTTACTCTGGATCTAGTCTGCCTGCCTCATAAATCCAGGACGCCCATCGCTGCCAAGTCCCTGGATGCTGTGAATCACTGATGGTGGAGGGCAGATATTATATAATTTTTTTTATTTAAATCAGGATTCATTGACACATTGTGTGCGTTTTTAGCCTTTATTATGACAGGACAGTTAGTTGACAGGAAGTGAAGTGGGAGAGAGATGGGGGCAGGCTCGGGAAAGGTCCTTGAGCCAGGACTCGAACTCGGGACGCCCAAAGCGCAATGGAGCTATATGTCAGCGTGATGACCATGATGCTATCAGCGCCGACAGTCACTAAAGCAATAAGCCCCAAGAAGCCGTGGTTTACAGTGAATTTATAACAGCTAAAGGGTGTTGTTATAAAACAGTTATTCCATATACGTAGTAAGGTTTCACAAAATAAAACAGAGCAAATAAAGTGTAATGATATTAATAAAAACATTATTCTTCCGCCAAACAATGTAGTTCCTCTGAAACGGTTGTGGTTCCAACAAAGGGGTTGCAGAGCAACACACAAATGTAAACAAAGGTGTATGCTTGTAGCATAGATATATATATATATATATATATATATATATATATATATATATACATATATGCCTCTTTATC